CCGATCGGGCAGGCGTGGCTCACACCACCGAGGCGAGCCCGGACACGGAGGCCACTTTGTTGTCCTCGGCCCAGGTTTTTCAGGTTCTGCAGGGCGAAGAGCGACGAGTTGTGCAGGCAGAGCGGATCCGGGGGCAGCGGCGGCCGCAGCGGCCGCGGCAGCGCGTCTTGCTGCAGGTGCAGAAGCAGCCTGCCCGCGCGGTGCCGCTCGGCCTCGCGCTTTTCCGCCGTTTGGCGCTTGCGCGGAGGGGGGCGCGGTCAGCCGGGCTGGACTCGCCAGCCTCGCTCCCGGCCGCCCCGGCCCGGGCCCGGTCCAACCCCGCCCGCACCGCGCCTCACCGCCACTTAGTGCGCCGGTTCTGGAACCACGTCTTGACCTGGGCGTCGGTCATGCGCAGGGCCTTGGCCAGCGCCGCCCTCTCGGCCGAGGCCAGGTACTTCTGGCGCAGGAAGCGCCGCTCCAGCTCCAGCACCTGCGAGCGGGAGAAGGACGTGCGCGGCTTCTTCCTCTTGGGGGGGGTCCGGTTCTGGTAGGGGTGGCCTATGCGGCGCGTCCCGGAGAAGGGCGAGAGCGCGGCTGCGGGGGAGGAAAGAGCGGGGCAGGGCTCGCGGGCGGCCGGGCGTCGCCGAGAAGCCAGCGCCCACCCAGGCGCCCTCGGGCCCCAGTTCGCCCCGCATGCGCAGGGACCTCCAGACAAGAAGAGGGCTCGGAAGAGGCGCCCCCCGGGTGAGGGAGGCACGTCCCCCGACTGCACTCCACCCAGCCGCGGTGCGGACAATGGGACTGCAGGGGCAGAGAAGGGTGCGGGCGCCGACGGCTGCGCCCTTCCCGTCGCCTCTCTGCGGCACCCGGGGATCCGAGCTGGGGAGGATCCCTGGGATGGTCTGGAGGTGGGTTTGAGGGGATCGGCGTGGGGCACGACGCCGGCGGGGGGGGGGAGCGGGCGACCTCACCCGTGAGCCGGTCTTTGGCAAAGCGGCGGCCGCCGTCCATCCAGGGGAAGGTGAGTCCCGCCAGG